GCATCTATCAGAGGACTTGAAGATGAATCGGTTGAGGGCTGCTAGAATTCTGGTCAACTTCTAGATGTCTTTGGTGGTCCTCGGCGCCTGGATGTTCTACACGGCCTATATCTGCTCGAGGTTGACCTTAATACCTCTATGGGTGACTAAGTACCCTAGAATTTGTCTGAGCTTACCCCGAAAGCACACTTTGAGGGATTAAGATTCAGACTGTAGCTTCAGAATATGGCGAACGTGGTCTCGAAGTCCCAGAGGTGATCGAAACCCTCCTTGTTTTTCTCCAACATATCATTAATGTAAACCTCTATGGACACACCGAGTTATTTCTAAAAATCTTGTTCATTAAGCACTGATAAGTGGCATCGGCTTTTTTCAACCCAAACGACATTACCATGTAGCAATAGATCCCCTAGGGGCGTAATGAATGTCATTTTCTCCTAATCTGATTCATGTAAGGAAATTTGGTGGTAACCCTTCTGAGCATTCATGAAGGAGATACGTTTGTAAACTGTAGTTGCGTCTACCTGCTGATCGACCTTCGGCAATGGATACTCATCCTTGGGGCATTCCTTGTTTAAGTCTGTGAAATCCACACAAACTCACCATTTCCCCTCTTTTTTCTTAGCACATACCGTGTTGGATAATTACTAAGGAAACTGCACCTATCTGATTGAGCCCGCCCCCCAATAACTTGTCCACCTCTTTATCCACGGCCTTTGCATGATGGGGTGCCATTCTTCGAGCTTTCTGCCTTATAGGTTTTAAGGATGGGTCCACGTGAAGTTGATGGGTCATTACCTCCGCGCTTATTTTCGTCATCTTGGTTTATGCCCACGAAAAGATGTCGGTGTTTTGGCACAAGAACTCTATCATGTCAAACTTCTCGGCGCCGTCTAGCGACGCCGCTATTAAAAAGAATCTCTCCTCATCCTAAGGATTTAGGAAAACTTTGACCAATGCCTTCTTGGAACGGTTAGTCGGTTCCATAATGGGTTCATCCACCTCAAGTCGATCGAACTGTGATTGTTATTTGCCCACCACCGTCTCAGGATCACACTCTTGAGCTCGGCTATTGACCCTAGTTTTCACCGCAGTATAAAAATAGCTTTTTAACAATACCTGATCACCATGAATCTCCATAATGCCTCTCGGAGTGGGAAATTTGATCTTTCGATGATAGGATAAGTGCACTGCCTTCATTGCATGTAACTACGTCCTGCTTATGATGGCATTATATGGCAAGTCGGAGTCTATCACTATTAATTCTGCTAGGATAACAACGATCCCGACATAAACCATAAGAGTGATTTTCTCGAGGGAAAGGGGCGCTAGAACCATTGAAACCTATGAATGGGGTTCTTATTGGTTTCAAGTCTTTCTGGGTGAACCCTATTTTGCGAAAAAGGTCATTATACATCACCTCGGACAAGCTACCTGAGTCCACCAAGATCCTCCTGACATCATATTTGATGACTCGCAGGGTAATTACCAAAGTGTCTTCATGAAGAAGTACTAACCCACTCAAGTCGGCCTAAAAAAAATGGATGACCTTGGCATTAGATCGCAACCTTTTAGACGATTGTTCCCTGTGCCTGCTCTCCTCCACTTTCACCGCTTGTGAGACCCTCCGGAGGTTAGTTTAGAGGGTATTATACGTCGGTCTCTCGACGGTGCAAACGTGTATGACTTCGATCATAGTTGCTGCTTCTTGAGGCGCGTTGGCTCCTTTCCCTGCCGAGCCCCCAAGAGGTCTCTTATCAATGAACTCCCCCATGTGCCTGTCTCGGACCAATTGCTCGAGAAAAGACTTATACACTCTACAATCTTTAGTCAAATGCCCAACATCCCTATGATAAAAATACCGAGATGTGGAGTCTCTCATTGATGGGTCTCCTTGCATCTTGGGGTGCCATTTGAAGAAAGACTTCCCTTTTATCTTATGCAACATCTTGTAAATGAGTTTCTTGAAGACCGTGTTCACCTATTAAAAATACAATCGATTTGAAGGCAAGATGAGAGCTCATTTCCTTGCAGGTGGTGCCTTCTACCTTTTCCTTGGCACTAGGGTGCTACTCTCGGGCATCATGGACTCTTCCTCTACCCTTGGCGTACTAATTTATCTGAGCCATCAAGCCCTTCATATCTCCTGGGGTTCTCTTAGTAAGAGATCTGTAGAGGTTGGTGTCTCAAGATAATCCTAGCTGAAACATCATTATAGCTATTGCTTCCGAGAAGGCCATGAACTCATTAACTTTTTTCCTAGTATCTAATTACGTACTGTAGAAGGGACTATCCCCCTCTCCATTTGAGCGTCAGTAAAGCGCCAATGTCTTTTAGCCTTTTACTACTAGTGATGAATTGAGCTATGAAGAGCTCGGTCATTTGTTTCCAAGATCTGATGCTCTTTGGAGCTAAGTTCTCGTACCACTTCATCACAGTGTCCCCCAAACTCATGGGAAAAACTTGGCACAGTAGCCTTTGGTTAGTGTCATAAATGGACATCAGCTGCTTGTATAGTCGTTGGTGGTTCTCGGGATCCGTCAGGGTTAGGTCTCCGGTTCTTAGCTTCCAGGCGCGCTCAGATATCCTTTTGGGGCCTTACATTTCTAGGCTCCCTCGCATTGGACTCCGTATAAGACTCAGTCGTCGTGGCACCTCTTGACAATCCATGGCAAAGGTTTCGTTGGGACAGGTCTGCCTTATGGTAATCCCACTTTGAGCTCTCCTCGGGAATAGGCCTTTCCCAACTGCGTGGATGGCGCTTGCTGGCCACGTGCCTATACTAGCTCCTCCCGGGGGCACTTAGCCTTATGCCCATGGAATTGCTTCGGCTGGACCTTCAGTCTTACTACTTGTTGCTTTGCCAACTGGCACTCCCTGATTGCTTGAAATCATCAAGTTTATGTTGTTTCTTAGTGTTGTTCTTCTCAAGTTGCTTAATGCAGTTCCCCATCCGTTTTTCCACTAAATCAACAATCTCATGAACCAAAAGGCCTTGCCCCCCAAGACCTTGATCTACGGGAATCATTCGTTGTGAGGCATGTTCACCTCCATCTGACTGGTTTAAGGGGTCTGACTCCGTGGCCACTAAGAACCGGGTAGGTTCCGCGTTTCTCATGCATAAACCCTCCATTACCTTGGGATCGTGTGTTCATCATGAAGCAATTGCTACGAGAAAAGCTCGTATGTTTCCCACATACGACACCATTTTGCATGGGAGAGTTCTTGCAATGAATACGGATAACAATCCTCTCGATGATGAACCTGAAACAACCACAAGGTCAAAAAAGGGGTCGGGTGAACACTCGACTTATTCCCTTTGAAGCTTATGTTAGTAGAAGTTTGGGGGCCTTAACATCGTGTCCCTTTTCTCAATTTAGTTTGCATATCTTTGTTCATTTTTTTAAGGAGTATTTATATCTGAATTAACAATGAGTGCAAGGACATGGAATCTCATCTCGACATTTAATGACTTGCACTCTTACCCATGCATCCTGAGTGTTGTCCACTCAAATCTTCGTGCCTAGTTTACTCGGGGCGATAGGATGACTGCTCAGGACATGTTGAGCACTTATGGCCCTATCCCCAGTCGTTTAAGTCCTCTGATCGGCGCTTGACACCTCTTCCTGAGCCTCCAATGCTCGGGGAACAGTACCCTGGGATACGCCGGGGAGATACGCTCAACACCATAGCCATTAATGTTTTGCAATCATGACTGTCAGTTTGGGTCTCGAGGATGCAGGGGCTCATTAATGATTATATCATATTCACTCAAGTCTCTATTAATGAGCAATCAAGTCATCTTAAATGCTGGTGCTAGTATATGTACTCGACTCCTCTGAGATATTACTTCTCGACGCCTTTTTAAGTTCCATAACGACTATACATCTTTTTATGCGTCGATTTGGGGGCTGTTGAGCCGCCTAAAATCCCTTGAATAAACATTTTAAAAATGTTTTTAAAATAGAATGAAAACGAACGTGAAATTAAGTGAAAAGTTGAGGGTCCAAATATAATTTTTATTTTATTATAATATATGATTAATAACACTAGAGGTCCTCAAAATATATAATTTATCTCATTTTGTTTCCCAAAATTTTAATTGTATCATTTTGATCCCTGAAGTATTAAATATATTTTTATATGATCCTTCAAGCAGAGAACGTTCAGATTACTAACGATTTTTTATGATGAACTTATCACTTGATATTTAAACATGAACAAAAAATAATTTGAATAGTTCTTGACAAAAAAATATGTAATGTTAGTAAGTTTTGACCAAAGTTTGAATAGCCAATGATTAAAACTATGTAATTTGAATAGTTTTTTGATCAAAATTTGGGTAGAAATTTAGTTAACAATTATACAAATTATTTATTTGTCCATATTTAAGTATTAGTTGACAAATTTATAACAAAAAAATATTAATAATTTGGAGGTTGTCTAATTAAAAAATCACATAAAAATATATTCAATAATACATAAAAATTAAAGTGACATAAATATCATATTTTACGGATCTTCGATAAAATTAATCTTATAATATTAGTTTTTCTAGTGTTGACGTCTTCATATTCCAGGAGCTAACTTCTAGCACCATCCTTGGTAGCAGCCAAAGAGAAAGTGCCACGTAGGGGCAAAATTGGTAGGGTATTAATATATTATTTTTTTGGCACATGAGTAAGAATGAAAATCCGGATATATATTTCTTCACCTAACACAATCGGTGACATTGATAATTGAGTCGAGATATTCTGAATCAGTTTAAATAAGACTTGTCCCGAGTTAAATTTGAACAATTTTGTAACGATATCGGACAAGATTGACTCAAACTTGCGATCAATCAAATTGTCGGCTGAACTTACGGTAGTAGTATTTAAATCGCACGGTCTAGAGGCGTCAGTGACGTTGATGAGGAAATGAGGCTGTGACGGTAGTGTATTGAAAAGATTATTTTCGGTACATGACGGTCCATGAAGGGGGATGGAGTATCGTATAGAGGAGAGACCACTGGAGACCTCCTATTAGCGTCCACCTCCATCATTGCTTTCCAATACGGCCGACCATTATAATAAGGTCTTTCTCCTCTCCTTCACCGAAGGAACTCCATTTTCTCTCTCTCTGTGCTTGACTTATTCAGGTGAAGTATTCTAAGTTAATTGGTGATTATATACATGTTTGTGTGGGTATTACTATTTGTATGCACATACGGTGTGACTTATATGGATGGGGGTATCGATTCTAGGTTAACCTCTGCTTGCCTGACGGTTTCAATCGTTAAATTTTGGGTTTTGTTGTCAATAAGTTCATTCGAAACTCTCATTGATGTGGATTATTATTGCCTTTGTTTACATCAAATTGACCAAAAGCACGAGGCTTTGAAGTGATTTTTTTTTTTTTGTTGAATTGATTGGTTTTGATTGTTTATTATGTGATGTGTGTTTTGCTATTTTTGAACTGCTAGACCTCAAAATATCTCTGTTGTTTGTTCATTGCTGTGTTCTTTAACCAGCTAATTATCAATTAATCTCTGGGGTGTGTCTTATAAGTACCATAAAATTGAGTTTGTATGGATTTTATGGTAACCTGCTTTATCTTACGTCTTTTGTGCTTGCGTCCAAGTATATTCTTTCCCTTTTTTCATGTGTTTTAATGCTCAATGAATGTTCACTTTGTTGTTTTCCTCCAAGTATATTCTTTCCTTTTTTTCAAGTGTTTTAATGGCCAATGAATGTTCACTTTGTGGCTTTTAAAATGCCATGTCTTACTCTGGTTGGGGCACCCAATTCACCTGCAACTGTTGCTGTAAAGGAGGAACCAAGGCCGAGTCTTTGTTAGACTCTATTGTCGAACTGTTGGTTCAAATTTCTGAAGGCATATTTAGTTGTTTGAGCTGGATGCAAATAACATGTTTGCCTTTTGTCTTAAATTACGAGTTAATATATGCTTAGGTCAGCTAGGTGCATATCTAGTACTTTCTATATCTAGCGGTAGGTTGGACTCTTTCAGGTGACTTGAGGCACTTTTGATTGATTGGCATGGTTTGTCAATGATCTTGGGAAATTCTGTCCCTTTTTATAGTCCCTCTAGACATTTTCTCAAATCCTCCTACATGTGGTTAGCCTTTTATACTTTAAAGGTTAAAGATATTGGAGCAGTTCTTATGTGGACAAAATTATGCACATGATCCAAACTCAGTTTGTATACATATTTTCTTTTGTGTTGTTTTATGAATTACTAATTATCAGATCCTAATTTTTCATTTGAGCTGAGCAATGAAAGTTGAGATAATAATTTTTACACGAAGGATCAGCAAAAAAAATTTATCAGTTGATGCAAGAGAGAAACATCTGTCATTTGTGTGTAACTTCATCATAATGCTCATTTTATTGATTTTTTGGTATATCCATCTGCTGAAATGAACTCTTTCATCTTTTCTGCTGAGTTCAGCCTGTACACAAGTGTCTTCAATAAATAGAGAAAATCAAGAACAGGTTGTATTCCCAGTTTATCTGGATAGGAAGTTGATGATAATTCATATTGGTATTGCTTATGCGCTTTTCTTTTGAACTTTTTCACCAACAATGTAGGTTGTTGAGTTTAGTTTTTTGATGGATGTCAGTTGCTTGCTTAACTTGTCATGTTGAAAGTTACATGCTCTTATGTGCCCATGTTAATTCCATGTGATTAATACCATCATCAAATGCAGATCGTGTGCTGGCAGTTATGGCTAGGGCTCTGGTTCAGTCAACTAACTTCCTTCCATCAGTTGCTTTTGGAAGGAATGGTCAATTCAAAGGATCTGGAAGAACAAATAGGACGGTTACTATGATATGTAGTTTACGAAAACCTCCCCTAAGGATGAACAGTTTCTCAGGATTGCGAGGATCCAATGCCTTAGATATGATGGCAAGATCTGGCCAAACTTTCCATTCCAAGGTGGCAGCTGTAACTTCTGTTCGGAGAGGAAGGGGCTGTCAAACAGTACCGAAGGCTATGTTTGAGCGGTTTACAGAGAAAGCTATAAAAGTTATAATGCTTGCCCAAGAAGAGGCAAGACGGCTTGGTCACAATTTTGTTGGTACAGAGCAGATTCTGTTGGGTCTTATTGGTGAGGGCACAGGCATTGCTGCCAAGGTCCTCAAGTCCATGGGTATCAATTTGAAGGATGCACGTGTGGAAGTAGAGAAGATAATTGGAAGGGGCAGTGGATTTGTGGCGGTGGAGATCCCATTTACTCCTCGTGCAAAGCGTGTCCTAGAACTCTCGCTAGAGGAAGCCCGCCAACTTGGTAATGTTTTATTCTATTTTCGTTGTTTATCTTCTCTTGCCTTCTAATTTTATTTTACTTTTTTTTTTTGGGGGGGGGGGGGGGGGGGGGTTGGTGTGTGTGTGTTAGCCATGGCGATGTATGGGGGTTGGTGGTGGCTAAAGGAAGTTGTGGGGTTTCAAATTTTTTATTATCATGTGTTTGGTTTGGATTTGGGTTGGGCTGTTCGTTTTTCTATTTTGTGATGGTAAATTGGTATTTGTGTAACACTGTGGGCTAATATCAACAAATTCGGTTGGCCTCCTTACATATTCACCGATGGAGGGATACGCCGTGAAATAAAAACTCAACCTACAAGAAGTGAAGATTACTTTTAGAAACCACCCACAAGGGGTGCAGATTAATTTTAGAAACCAC